CGAGACTCACTCTGAAGAGCATTTGGGTACCCAATTCCTGGTTAAATCAGTACAAACCTGAGGCGCCTGCATCACATAGGGATTTGGCCTCAAGTTGTGCCGGGGAGGGTTAGATTGGATATGAGGGAAAATTTTTTCACTGAAAGAGTGGTCAAACACTGGAAGGGGCTGCCCAGGGCAGTAGTGGAGTCGCCATCCCTGGAGGGGTTCAAAAACATGTAGATGTGGCACTTGGGGATGTGGTTTAGTGGCCATGGTGGGGTTGGGTTGACATTGGACTGGATGATCTGATCTCTTCCAACCCCAACGATTTGATTATTCTATTTCAGAAAGCTGCACTGCTTCATTGAACAGATGTATCTGAATCTGTGCAAGCCCTGAAGTGGATTCCCTTGGTTTAGGATGATTTTTGCTATTGATTCTCTCCCTTGGCTCCTCACCAGCACAGGGATGTGCTCCTGGACTGACCAGGCCCTCCCTGGATCCATTCTCTTGTTTGGACACAGATGTCTGCCTCAGCTGAGAAACCCTTTAGCAACGGGATTTGTAAAACCACAAAAGTGCCCAGGAGACAGGAGAACTTAATTCTTCTTTACAGGTTTGTTTTTCACTTGGATATTGCAGCTCTCAGAAGGGAACAGCAGCACCAGTCCAATGGCTCTGCCCTGGTCCAGCCCTTATGATATTTACACAGCAGCTGTGCAATAGTTGGTGGACAAATAAATAAATACAAAATAAATATAATTCCTGTGATCAACACTCGCTTACGGAGCCATTTGAGGATGCACAGGTTGGCATCTCCACGCCCTCTCCTCCTTCCATACGAACACACTTGGGCTTTTCAGCTCCCTCCGAGCCACAGCACTTACCGAACAATTTCAGCTTTGGGGGAAAAGACTCAAAATGCAGTTAGATATGATTTTTATTTTTCCTACCCAACGTCATTGCCCCCGCTCTCCTGCAGATGTACTTTGCTTTCACAAGCACTCAGCAAAGGAACTCACTCCGTGTGCTCTGCCATCGCTCTCCATGCCCCATTGCCATTAGCTCAGGCCCTTATCCCTCCTCTGCACTCCCAATCTCACCTGGGCATCCAGGGGGCAAAATTTTGGCCAAGGTGAGCAGAAATTGTGTCCATAAGCCATGGAGCTATAACCCCAGCTGTACCCACAGCACAGGAGAGCTGAGCACAATGCTGGGACCCACCTCAGTTTAAACAGTCACCCTTTTCCTCTGAAATTTGGTTCCCATATATTGAGTCTCACCCACAGCCCCTCATTGTATCGCTGTCCCTGTGTTTGTACAGTAACTAATTCTGACTGCAGCCACTCTGTCAGCCCCGGGGATCACTGCTCACGATGTGATTTTGGAGGATGCCAAATGAAGCAGCGATGTTTGTGGTGCGATTACAAACGACAACAATGATAATTAACTGATTAGTGTTGAACAGGAGGAGCACGGTAAGCACAGCCACACACAGACCGCTCTGCTCTTTGAAGGGTGGCTGAAATGACCTTTTCCAGGACTTCCCAAAAAGGTACCCCAAAATAAGAGCACCTGGGGTGTCAGGAGCACAGTGGGAAAACCAGGCAGGAGGGAGGGCTTTTAAACCAGCACAGCTCAAATCCAACACCTCCTGCTTCAATCCACTTTAAATCCCTATTTATCTGAGAGATGCTCACCAGCGCAATTAAATCGATGTTCATTAGCTAATGAAGCAGGTGGAGGTTTTCTCACATCCTGAGCCTGCAGCACGTACACCCCATTTTCACTGAGTGACTGTGGGTGCAATTGGTCTTCCTGGGGTAAATCTCCCCCCTTTAGGTCCACCCAAGCCGTCGCAGAGCTGCCCTCAGCTGCTTTTACCCTGATTTTACCCTGGCCTATAGTAGGGTTATCCCACACAGCTGGCAGTTGACGCCCACCCTTCAGAGAAAGGGGCTCATAGTGATCCCAATGGATCTGCCTCTGCCACCCCCAGGGCTCAGCCACTCCAGCCACCCCTTTTCTCCTGCTCCTTTTGGGTGCATTCAGCAGCACCCATGCACGCGTGTATCCGCTCGTATCCGCTCTGCAATGCTTCCACCTACAGAGCAAACCCAGAAATGCAGCCAGAGCTGCAGGTTGGGGCCCAGCTGGGTGCACGGGGCTGCTTCGGGGGGCTGCAGAGGTGCTCATGAACCCCCAGTGCCCTCCAGCAAACCTGCAAAGAAAGATTTGCTTTCCTAGGACAAAAAATGGCAATTTTAAAATTTTTTTTTTCCCATTCCATTGGAATACAAGGACGTATTTTTTCAGGTCAGTGAGAATGGAAACCTGTTACCATTACAGAAGTGGTTTTTCCGAAGTGGTGGGTAATGGCCAGCACCTGAGCCCCACCGCAGCCAGGGGAGCACAGGGTGGACACAGCGCATTGGGTCCCTGCCCCAAAGAGCCTGCAAGCAATGAGCCTGTGCTTCAGAGGGCGAGAAGAACAAGGAGGGGGGTGAACAACGTGGGGCTGGTGTAAAAATATGGATTTCAAAAACATTTTCCCTGGTTATGGTTCCTGCCAGGAAATTTTCCTGGAAAAGGGACCCTTCTTGCTGCTTCTTAACAGCAGCACTCAAGGCATGCTCTGCTGCACCCGCTGCCACTGACCTGGGGGGTTTGGAGGTGGCTACAGCCACTTGTTGGCCCAATTTCCATCAAGAATATTTTCAGGTGGTTCACAATTTTTCTCCTTCCCGAGCCCATCCAAAGCTTTGGGTCCACATCCATCCTTCTGACGTCTGTAACAAAGCTGAAAGCTAAGCACAGCCACAACAGTTTGAGTTACAGGAGTACTCCCTATTTCCCAGCAACCTCCCTGCCTGCTGTGATGGCCACAGGATTCAGCCAGATCTGTGCAAGGCACTCAAAATACCTCATTTCTCAAATACGTTTATAAATCCTGCTCGTTTCTCAAACACTTCTGTCTGCTTCTTCCACCACTCAGTGTGGCTACAGCGAAGGCAGAGGCACCCCTGCCTTGGGCATGGTCAGATGTCAGCACCAGGTCAGCCAAGCCACCACATCCTCCAGAGATCAGTTACAGCTGATAAGAGGTTTCCTAAGTGACTCGGGCACATTGAAGAAATTAAAAATAAGCATGAAAGAAGAATACTTCTCACCTGCTGAGTTCTGTCAGCGTAGTCTCAGGTGACTCCTGGAAGACAATATGGATGCTTAAAGGTCAAACAATGCTCTCAAATGATTAACTTTTTTGTATTTAGTGTTTAATGAACACATCTTTATGTGTCCTTATATGACACCTCAAAGTCTTGGGAGAGACATACGAGCTCTTGTTGTAAAAATAATACAGCACCTCCCTAAAAACAGGCTTTGGCTGACAATTCCCGCTAGAGATGGCTGCTGCACTGGACCAAGCACTGGCGTGTGGCTCAGCAGATACCAACCTGCTCCTGGGATGCCACCAGGTCCTCAGCTGGTCACAGCACCTCCTGGCACATCACCCAGCTCCTCAGCTGCTACCCAGGGTGCTCCCCCTGCTCTCCAGGGACCATCACCACCTCTGAGGGGACTCTCAGATCACATCTGTTCTGTACAGAACTGACTTGGCCTACTTGGGCTTCCAGAAGGACCCACTGCTTTTGTTTCTGTAACCAAACCCATTTATTTTATGGCCTATCAATGGCAAGGACATGGCATGGTTGAGGCCACCACCCACACAGCTGGCTGAAGACACCTGTGTTTCCTCACAAGGAGGATCAAACACCCAACTTGTTGCTGGCTGACAGCAAGCTGACTGCACAAGCCAGCTGCCACAGATGGTGTGGGTGTGCAGCATCACCAGAGGCTCCGGCCTTGTGTGGAAGCCGACTGCGCTCTCAGCTCTGGAGCAAGGGGCTCTGGAGGCACAGAAGGGCAATAGGTGATGATCAGAGGCTGAGCCCTCACCGTGGTTTGCTTCAATGCACAATGGAACTTGGGCCAGTTGTGCTCCTGCAAACCTGGGCTTCTGTCACTTCCCTGGACTATCTAAACTTTCATCTGGGAAAAAAACCACCTTAATTTCCATAGCAACAAATAATTTTTCCTGAAAGCAACAAGCACATGAAATGCAGTTACTACAGATTAAAAAACATCAACCACCACACAGGTCACCAAGAAGCAGAGGAAGACACTTACCTTTTCCCTCTTTTCAGAGCAACACACATTTTGTTTCTAGAGAACAGATGCTGATCAGGACGGCAGGATGCCGGGTACCAGCTTATGAAAACACACCAGTTCCAGCGAAGCCTTTGCTCAACCACATCTTTTCTTTTCATTTTTGAGGTCTTCAGCTGAATTGTGAGCAGCACCTCAGGAGAGCAAAGATCTCATCACGCTGCATTAGCAGCCTTCACATCCCAAGGGACCCCAGGTTCAAATCCGCAGCTTGAAAGGACAAGGCACCTGAGCAGCACCTGAAAGAATCAAATTCCCCCGCCCCCATTTCATCTCCCCTTTACCTGCACCTCCACCCACAGCCTTCCACGCAACAGAAGCGCATCAATATCCCAAACACGCCATTAATCCGCAACGGTCAAAGTGATGGTCTTTAAGAAAATTAAGTTTAGTTTCAATACATATGAACTTCAACAGGAAGTAAATAAAACAAACCTTTGTATTTTATTTCTTGTAAAAATCTTTTAACACATGCAGACTAAAACCAGTGTAAGAAAGTATCCACCATAGTTTAAACAAATAACTATACTTAAATATAAGTGTCTGGAATTGACTTGTATAAAAATAAGGTACATTTTGCCTTTTTACAGAAATCCATTCTCCAGTTCTCATATCAATAAACAATACACAGCTCTAATACATATAACTTAACCTGACCATTGTTTTCCATCAGCTCGATACTGCTACGGTATTGATGTGCAAAAGTTGGTAACAGCTCCTTTCTCAAAAGAAAAAATTCCTATGTTTTAAAAAATTAGGCATCAAGTTTTAAATTAATCAGTTTATCGAACTATATACAGGTTCAACTAGAACATGGCACGGGGGCAAACCCTAGCGGCGGTGCCTGCTATGTCCTGAGCGGCTGCTGCCATGGTGTTTGCCCTTGTGAGACCTCTCGAAGGAGCGGGACCTCTCACGCCTGTCCCTGTGGTGTCCTCGCTCATGCCGGTGCTTCTTGGCAGCATCCGAGTGCTCCCTGGATTTGCTCTGCGAACGGGAACGGGATCTTTTCCTCTTGTGGCCGTGCCTGTTCACGCTCTTCAGCTCCTCCCGGCCGTGCTTGGCCTTCAGGTGTGGTGAGCCATGGTTGTGGTGTCGGCGAGGGCTGCCGCTGTGGCTGCGAGAGCGGCTCCTTGACCGTGAGCTGTACGTTCCGGACAGGCTGCGTCTGTTATTGTAGCTCACAGAAAAGTGTGACAAGTTAAAACATGGCTTCCGTGCGGAAGAAAAGTGAGAAAATAAATCAATGCTTAGGGGTATCCAAGTTACTGGAAAAAGTCAGAGACTAGTTCTCACACAGGGATTACTGATTAATAGTGGTCATCCCAGAACATGTTTTTGAGTTGAGTTCCTTTGAAAACAAACCACCCAAACCAAACCCAGAATGCAGTGCCTCCCATCACTGTTTGACTTTGTCGAGAATCTTCCCCTCAATGCCAGACTGCAAACTGGTTACTGCTTTTTTTTTTTCCTTCAATGATCTGACAGTCAGCAACACTTAGGGGAAGACTTCACTGATCAAGTTGGCAGTTTCCAACTTAGATGTCAGTCTGAGAATTCTTTAAAAAAATATTTATCTAATGCTAGCAGCTACCACTGCATCATTCCACACAGCTCCCCCTCTTCCCCAGACTACTGCAGAGCCCAGCAGCACGTCATGCAGCAGACAGGAGATGCGTCCTCCTGTGCATTTGGCAGAAAGCTACAAAGGAAGCTGCCTGTACAGCACCTACAAACTACTTGAAATATCCTAGAGCCAATTACGATGGAAAAAACCAATCCCCAAAAAACCTCCGCCCCTTCCCCACAACCTCCCACCAACCAATCACCAATCCAGTACTTACTGCCGTCTAGGAGTGTGGGATCGAGACCTCGACTTTGATCTTGATCTAGATCGACTCACACTTCTGCTGCTTCGACTCCTCTTGCTTTCTTTTCTCATGCTTCAGGGGGGAAAAAAATAGGGTCACACTTCTGAGGTATTTGTTACCTCCATGAAATAGCTCAAAAGTAGCTCACTGTACTTCAGTTGAAGAAATCGTTTTTACCAAAGTTAGGGTTAGGGTTCGTTTTTACCAAAGTCTTCTCTTCATCAAGAAGAGATTTTTACCTACCCATTGTAAGGGCTCTTTAAAGCTTGCTGCCTGTCTTCTGGCTCTTTTTTAACAGTTTTGGTATTCAGTGATACTGGACTCTTCTCTTCAGTTTTCACTTCTCTCGGGGAACCTAAAAATTAAATTTCAATTCAAAATGAGGTATTTTATTCAAAGACTTTTGTAATCAACATACTGCACCCTTTATACACCTTTACCAGTATTTGCACAGAAAGTCAATATGAACTCAGTAGCTTCTATTTCACTGCATCTTTCCATTTATAGCTCACTCCTAGAACAGAGCAGTGGAGTGATGCACAGCAGCTTTAAGCCAAGTGCCAGCAGGAGCGCAGAGAAGAACACCGTGACCTTCATGCCAAGCAGCCAGGCTCATCTGAGATTTCATTCCCCAGGGCCCAAGTGCTACAGAATAAAAGCTGCCCTTATGGCCCACAAATTGATAAATTGTTACCTTGACAAATAACTTCCAATACTATAGAAAGAATTAACTGAACAGCAAAATCATCAAATGCATTTTTATATTAGTGGTACAAATATAATGAATAACAAAAAAATTTGCCTACAAGTCAATCTAACTAAAGTCTGATATACCTACTATATTTATGTATCTACTGATATAGCCCAGAGATGGATTCACCTTTTTAGGGCAGGGCTGCTGTGCAAGGATGTGCAAGAAGGATGCATTTCTACCTGGCCTGCCAACAGTAAGGCAGAGGTGCTGCTTTATGACCACACCTTCCTCACTCAACAGAGTTCAGTTTTAATGTAAAAACATAGAAAGAACTCTGTCAAAAGCTTTCCCCATTTGTCAGCTCCTAAGAAGTCTCCAAAGCCCCACTGCAGGTCCTGCTTTCACTCAAACACCTCTAAACCTAGGCTCCTGCTTCACTGAAATAACAAAAAGCTTTCACGGTTTAGTGAAATTGGCACTTGCCAGCTCAAAGACCTCTGGAAACCCAGACGTGATGTTCTTAAGGAAAAATTACTGCTATAAATACTGCTTTCTTAAGCTCCTGAAAAGGCCATATAAGAAACAAGGGCCCGTGCCTTCTACTTTACCTAGCACAGCTGAAGCAGTGCTCATGATAACCTTTAAGTTTTGTTGGTAGTTTACAGATGAAGAGCAGAATTAAGAGGTAAATGCACCAAGACAAAGCTGTCTGTTCTTTGTACCATTAGAGCTCAGATTTATTGGGCGGTTCAAGATCTGCATTACAACCATTCATTCACTTCAATGCCAAGACAGCTCTTGACCTTCCCTTCTCCATTTCCTGACCACAAGCTGTATTCCTTCACTGCACTTCAACAGCTGACAAGTACATTAAAAAAAGGCAGAGAAAGCTGAGATCCCTGGTATTTCAGAGAAACCTGCTGCAACAGGAACCATGAAGGCTACTGCTGCAACACCCCTCCAACACATTAAATCCAGAGCCGCTCTTCACAGCACAGTATTGTACAGCAAACTCCTGGGTCTAGATGTTTTCATTACATAATTATCTTACTGGTGCATATTAATATATCACTCCTATCTGTGGGGGTATGGAGTAAAGCATCCCATTTCCCTCTAATCTGCTGTTTCAAGGTAGTGAAGCTGCTTTCAAAATTTGTGTTTTAAAAAGGAAAGATTTGTCTTGCTGCTTAGTTCTGTAAGAAAGCCTCAACTGTCAAACAGCTCAAGAAGCAAACCTACTTTAACACCTTGGGACACAGATTTAGTAGATTTATCAAATAGTATTTATGCAAGTTTCTGTTCAGAAGAGCAACTTACATGGTTTGGATGCAGGAGAAAAGCCACCCAGTGTTGAGAGGGCTGGAGTTCCATCCGGATTTAAGCCTTTTGCCTTCAGTTTAGCTTCCTGTAGTGCCATTTTCCTCTTTTCTACTTCCTTATCCAGGAATTCATAGTTGGGCTGTTAAAGTGACACAGTGGTAAGCTGAACTAATGCAATTCATATTTTGATCTAATTTCTGAAAAATACTCAGTTATCTTTTAAACATCTGTCCAGTTACGTGACTAACCTCCCTAATTTGTTCTCACACTCCTCACCTTAGAGGAGCAGCCAAGCCATGGAGCCTTTCCAATGAGCAGACTTGTATGCAGGCATTCCCAAACACACTTACACAACCATGAGACAGCTCAAAGCTGACCTGAACGCTCAAAAGGAAAACCAAGCATCTCCAAATTACCTTCTTTCTAGTATAGATCTTAAGAGTTGTTAAGCAGATCTCCTGAATCTCCTCTTCTGTGGTGCCAAAGAGCGAGAACCAGTGAGGACGGGTAGGCAGTGGAATCTGAAAATAAAAACAACCAAAAGCTTAACACCACAGATTACAGACCAGGCTTTTGTTTTAAATACTTTCATTAATTTTCTTGAAACCAAATTACTAGTAATAAAAGGCAACGCTAAAGACAGAGGAATGCTCACCTGCAGAGCTCTAGCAGCAAGATAAATGCAAGCACACGCTATCGTCTCTGGCTGAAAGCGAACAAACACGTTTGTTCGAAGGCTGTCATTCATGTAATTCCTAAAACAACAAAAAATTATGAAAGGTTGACTCTCCAGTTTACATCTTTTAATTTAGAGGATAACAATACTGGAGACTCAATTGACTTTATTATTTTTTCTGTTAGTATATTAAACACTTGCTTTCTTTCGAATTATTGTATTTGATATTTACATTTGTTACTTCTGTAACAAACCTTGCACGGTTGCCATTGTTTTGAAACCCCAAGAGTGCGTAAAGGCTACTTCCCAGGTAGGCATGTTAAGTTTATACTGTGAAGTGTCCATTGAGTTAATCCAACAAGTACTTTTAAATACTGTCCAGCTTGAAACACCAATGTTCTTGTGTTTAACAATCAATATGCTTAAAATTCAAATGCAAGCATGAAAGCATGGTATATGTTTAACCTACCATTTCCAGAGGCTAGATGCAACCTATAAAGTTAACAAAACATTGCATTTAAATCCTGTGTGTGCAGAAGCATCCAATTTGCTCACAAAGTGTTGGAAAAAGACCTGCAAGTTAGTAACGGGTCTCCCACTTCCCTAAGCTACTGCTCTCTACGTGCCAAGAAAGACATTTAAACAGCAGAGACCTCCATCGATTTCTAAGTTACTGAGCTACAGGAAAGAAACAAACAGCAGTAAATATAATAGAAAACCATACCCAATATGGTTTCTAAGTGAACATGCCGCATGCACTGTCATTTTATTTTTTTTTAAACTCAAGTTTAGCCAAATGCTAAAATCAAGTGAATAAATGTTGGCAGAAAGTCTACCCCACATGTCCTTTAAATACACTACAGTACACAGTAGCTAGGCAATAAATACATTTTCAAAACATTTTTAAGTTACTTCTAAAAGCACATATACAAATCCTTTGACACCCAGACAGAACTAGGAGATGCTGCCCGATGGATATGGACCACTTCAGTGAATCTCGGATGAGAGCTTGCACTGGGTTGGCTGGAGAGAAGGGCAGCCAAACCGGCCATCCCCAGGTCATGGGCTGAGGTGCAGAGGGTAGAGCTCTATGACTTACCATCATGGACTACCCTTTAATTAAAGAGTAGAAAAAAGAACAAAGTTAAATTGAGTTCTCCTTTACCATGCTGGAATCAAGCCATGAAAATAGTAAGCAGAAACAAGCACTCAAATACTTTCAAAGCATGTATTTGTGTAATAACTTACATCTCACTGCTTTGCATACGGATTGCCAGGCTTGTTATTTCTGCTACTATTTTCCTGGCTAGGAAAAGAATGGAAAACAACAACTTACCAGGCTGTCTGTACCAGCGTTTGATTACGTTCACATTCTAAGACTTGCAAATACATAACAATGATCTGAGGAATAAAGGGAAAAGACTCAGTTTTAGCATACAAAGCAACAGTAAGGAAGTAACTATAAATAATCAAACAGTATTCCAAAACAATGGTCTCTCCTTTTTTCGAAGCATACACTGCAAGCTCACATCATCCAATCATCTGCAGACAACTCTTTACTACTTTCCTACCATTTTCAAAACCAGTCGCTTTTAACATTTCCCCAAGGAAGCAATTTTTACCAAAATCAATATGACTATTTGCCCAAGCACTTTGGCAAATGCATTCCTCGTAACTACTAAGGAATAAAGAGAAGAAATCAGGTCATTTTTACACCTGTGTTTCTTGTACCACAGTTCACAATGATGCCATCAAAGTAGAATATTTACAGTTTTATTATTTTTCATAACTCACCTTATGTGGATGCTTGACATGAACACAAAATCCCAACTCCTTCAGCACCCTCCTTTCTGCTTTGATTACTTGATTTTTGGTGTTTATGTAGTTCTGATCAAGTATCAGGGCGCTTGGAGTCCTATAGTTTGCAAGAAATAAAATCAAAAGTATTTTGCATATCCAAAAAGAACGGCAACTCTGTTTTCCCTTCCAACCAACTAATGGCAACAGAAACCGGTTTTTAACTCCTGCAAGCAAGTTTAAGCATTAATCTTGTGCTGTCCAAGTTTCCCTAAACTAGTTTAGGTCCTGGTTTTGTCTAGCTACAGATTAGATGGCTAAGATGAAAAAAAAAAATAAAAATAAAATGTTTTGCTACTGTGTATGCAAACTAAGCTGGTCCAGCTGTTGGATGAGAGTCAACTTTACAATGAAGATCTCTACCTTTACACTTCATGATAGAGGTGAGGAAAGGCGTGTGATACAACCACCTTCGGTAGTAGGACTTCAAACAAAAGCAAGCTAAACCAGGGTTTTTTTTAACTGATACTGAAGTAGCAAGCTTGAGTTTTATAAGCTGGTTTCCTATGCACTGGAAGACAAAATTATTCAAAATCTTCAGAGAGCAAAACAGTCCTGGTACTGTGATACACAGAAAGCCTCCTAGAGCAAAGAATTTAACGTCTGAAACAGTGACAGATCTGCCTGTGATCCTGAACCCTGCAACTGCTGAGCAGTGGATATATGTCACTTCTGCTACGTGCTTTTGCAAAACAGCAGCTCATTGCACAAAGAAAGATTCCTAAGTCTAGTACTATCACATCCTAATTCCTTCCATATCCAACACGTGAACTCTCCAAAGCATTTTTTAAACTAAAATAACTTGCCATATGCTTTATGCACAGGCATCACGCTCCATTTTGTAATTTGTTTGTGCTTAGACTTGACCTTTCAACATTTCACATCATGTATTTTAATCCACTTCCTCTTAATGAGACTGGCTTTTTCCCTGTTTGTAATATGCCTCGTATATTCCATGTGTTTTCCAATGCAGAAGAATGGCTTTTTTTAACTAGTTACACTCTAATAAACCACAGTCTGTTTACATGATAAACCTAGCAGACCCCAAGAACCAGTGACAAATTTATTTTACATTACCTTCAAAAGAAAAAAAAGTAACGCAAAGTGGCTTCAAAGTACAGCTTCTGTTTTATCAGACAAAATTTTCACAACTAACTTGTCTTTTAGGATTTCATGCAACTTCCACAAGTGGATCACTTCCCTGATAGGTCACAGAGCAGAAAAGACACTGAAAAACCTAGGTAGAAAGGGTCAGTTTAATTACACAGCTACCTGAAGGGCTTCCCAACTTCAATCCTCTACAATTTATGCTAAGACTTGTCCAGTCACCAGGAAGGATGCTAATTACCACTAGGCAAAGGATACAAACAGCCATCCACTTCTCTAAGAAAAGCATCGTGCTTTTCCCCTCATCTTCCCAAGGGGCTGAAAAGCAGCTCCCGGGAGGTCTGAAATGAACTGCAGTTCTTAGTGTCAGGAAGCACCCACAATTCAAGTGCGAGCCTTAAAGCTTCTGGTTCCTAAAAAAATGCCATGTTAAATAAAAGTAACTACTTAAAGAATTTCTCTCACTCAGCAGGGCGAGTCTATAATAAAGTCTGTGATTTCAGCTAGTCAGTCAGCCAGAATATGTTGTTTAGTTGGTTGGTTTTGGGTTTAGGGTTTGTTTTTTTTTCCGTAAGTTAACTGAAAAACTTCTAAAGCTTTTTTAAGGTAACTACTTCAGTGGAGAGCTGTAACTTTATCCAAACACTCCAGCACTACAAAGGCTGTCTGAACACAAAACTCTGGAGCGTGAGACTTGGAGAGCCAAGCTGAAATTCTTCAAATTGGTGAAACTGATTGACTTTAAATTTATTTCAGCTACTTCTACTGTGTTTTCTAATAACATTTCCTCCAATGCTGCTTTACACAATCTTATCTAGAGATCAGTGGCATTAACAGGATCTGCAAGACATCATTCAGAGCAAGTTTAGGTGTCCAGGCTCAGCTTATCTCGTTAGGAGAACACATCATCAGAGGTGAACTGGTTGGGGCAGCTATGACTTCCAGTCTAAAAAACAGAAAAATCAACAGCAGGACAACATGACTGCATGGGATCACCCAACAATCTGCCAGGATTACTACCTTCCACGTGTCTTTGCTTTCTCAGAAAACTATCCAAGAAAGTCAGTATTATGAAAACATAGTAAGGTAGCTTGAAGTGCAACAGGAAAGACTGTGAGCTGTGCTGCATTTTAAGTTTTCACTGCCCTTCTACAGGGCCATAAGATCAGCACAAAGAGTTCATACTTGGGTTGCACATGTTCAACAGCAGAGTGATTGACAGGAAACTTAAATCCACGACACTCGGAAATGTGCTTTACTCTGTTGTTCCACGTTACTTCGGTCACAAGACAAAAATTCTAGAGATCTACAGATCTAAGGAAGCCATTGAAAACATCAGTTTATGCAGACAGTATTTCCAGAAAGAAAAATGCAGTCTTTTATCCACTTACAGAAAAATAAAAATGAGCACAAGACTTCACTGCATCTTATTACTGGCAAAAGTCAGGTTCACCGTTGTACTAAGATTTATCAATTTTGTACTCTGTCATAAACCCTGAAGCGTTGGTATGCATAACTATTTAGAAGTTGGAAACTTCCTTTTTTCCCTTTGGAAAACTTAACTTTCCTACTAAGAAAAAACAGGAACTCTGCTACTGCAGTTGCTGCATGTAGTCCTCAGTCCAAGAAGTAATCGTTTTAGGTCCACATAACACACACTAGAGAAAAATAATGTATAAGCTTACATATAAAACATAAGCTTAAAGCCCTACATAGCCAAGCAGTATTACAAATTCTTATTTTGGATCTGTTCTTACAGCTCAGCACTAGAGCCCCAGGCAAGACTTTAGACTTAAGAACAGAGAGCACACAGTGCCCATTCTAAGTAACTTAATCCAACACTTAAGTCGCAAAACTTCATTTGGATTTAGAGATTGCATAACAACCCAGAAGATTATTACACACTGTAACATGTTTAGAACAATAAAAAAATTACAAATATCCTTTTTTAAAATCCCTCTGACAAACAAAACCTAGATTCTTGACACAGCTACAGCTTCATTTGATGCAGTATTAAAATCTGATGTCTTTGGAATGTTTAATGCTTTGGAGGAAGAGTGCCCTGCGTGTAGCTTCGTTCACATTGCAAGGAGTACTTCTGACAAGTACAGCATAACATCCCCATCTCATTACAAAGACCAGATCTCTCTTATGCCAGTCAATACAAGAGAAGAATGCGAGTTCTGTATTTGTCTCCCACACTGTAAATACAAGCACTGCAGATTTACAGAAGTTTGAAGGACGCTAAGCAGTGTGTATCATTAATGCAGGCCACTTCCAACACGACTGCATGAACCTGTTTGCTGCAGCAGTGAGGAACCTGAGCATCTCAAACCCACATTTGTGCAATTACATAAGGACAGGAGTCACATTAAGACTTTCTGCAGCTTTCAGGCACATTTAAGATAAATAAAATCAACTTCAAGCTACATTCTACATGTTAAACAACAATTGCACTTTGCTCAAACACAGATTTTTGGCACACAATTTTTTAAAAAGCAGTATTTTCATAATACGAGCTTTTCTCCATGCACACAAACATTTTTACATGCATTACTACATGACATATGCTCGTGAAAGATCCAAAAGAAAAATATGCTTGTCCAAAACACACTTTAACTTTTTCTTACTTCTCAGTATTAGAAATCCCCCCTAGCAGTAACTCGGTTGACTACAGGTCTTACAAAAGAAAATTCCAATTCAATTCCCAGTTCTGCAAACAGGTACATATGAGGGACTACTTACACAGCGATTTATATAAACAGCTTTACAAATTCAAGACTCCCGTACCCTTGTGAAGGCATGTTTTACTACGAATTCAAGCTGCAATTATACAGAACCAGAAGTGGAACTAAGAACCCAAAACTGTTAAAGAAAGCAAGCAAGCCAACCCACTCAAACTACTCAAACTTCATATGCAGGTTAAGAGCTTCAGATAACAGAAATACTCGACTAGAGGCAAAAAGAAAGTACAGCCTAAACGATTGTTTCAGTTCTGGGTTGTGTGTGAGAAACTAACTACGGCCTAAGTGTTAGCTTCAGATAAAAAATAAAAAAAAAGGTTAAGCTAATATACTAAAAACCTGGACAGCAAAGAAAAAAGCTTATAACAAGATACAGGAGTTCTTCCAAATGGTTCACCAGCGGCCAACCTGATAGTCCCCCGGTTCCAGTGACCTATTCTCAGAGCACTGGCTTGTCCTTGGGGATTTTCGATACTTCATTCACTGTTGCCATGACGACAGCTTCATCTTTATGTACCACTCCACATCACCCAGGCTTTGGTAAATGTAGCTGGTCGCTGTATAGTCGGTTGCAAGGGAAAAAAGAGTTGAAGTTAATAACATATACAGATTATGTAACTGTAATCTTGTAAAAGTACAGAAAAAGTTTACATCCCGCTTGTTTAAAAAAGATAGAAAAGGTAAGCCTGAATGTCAGACTTCAGCATTTTTAAAGTTAGTTTCATGCAGATTCACTGAGAATCTCAGAGCAGCAACATCCATTTCTGCAGAAAATAACGGGTAGGAGTGCGTGATTTCCTTTGACATGATGCATTTTAGACAGCATGTAACATGCAACAGTGACATTCTGACTTGGAACAGGCTAGCTGGAAAGATTTAAGTTCACAGGTTAAGTTCAGTTCCTCTGATTCTTTGCACTGCACAAAGAAACAGCTATTTTATATTCTCATTGCAAAGAAAAGCATTGCATATGGTTAATGAACCTTCACTGTCTGAATCGAGGTCAAAACATTAAGAATCACTGAACCAGCTTCAGTAATTCCAACAAACAAGACTTCCTCATCATAACTGTGGTAATATACAATACCACCAAATTCACATGCTGCATAAATTCACCAAACTCTCTGTGGGCAATCAGCGATGACAGCTTTAAAAAAACAAACCATACCAAACCAAACCAAGCTAACTTCTGAAGTGTAACACCAAATCATTCTTTCACCTAGAATTAACTAGGAAAACACCAGCACAAGGCCATAAAGTGGAAGTTTTAGATGCACTGGAAGCCTAACCAAGACAAGCACACCAAGAAACAGCTGTTTTTCCTAGAGATTTCTACTCCACTTCTCTGAAAAGGTTACACAACACTTGAGTTTAAACTCCTGCTGTAACCTCGTGTAACAGAGCAGAGAAATCAAAGAGTGACTTCAAGAATCTAGGTGAAAACAAAATCCTTTTATAACTATGGGTTACCTTACACTTTAAGCAACTGGCCACTAAAACCAAAGCCACTTCATCACAGCTGACATCTGCAGTCTCACAGACTATAAATACTGCTACACGTCAGATCTAAAGACATTTTGCTTTTAACAGCAACTTAGAAAACTCCTTCCCTTCAACCATTCCTCCTTCCTTCCACTCAAGTCAATTTCTTCTACACACAAACATTGCTTTACACACGACAAAGTGGTATTAGGCACTCACAACTGAGAGCAGCGCTACAACTCAGGCAGACAATTGTCCAGACCTGCACACAGCTCAGGTGAGTTTACACTCCAACCTCACTGACACAAGCACACAGTACCATGAGAAACAAAGTGTCTCACAATTAAAGACGCCTTCAGCTTCTTCCAAGACTCAATTACACATTCCTTGTTGAAGCGGTGTCATTAAAGCTGCAGACACTGTAGGCCAAACCATACCTTTTTTTCAGTTATTTTCTAATTTTTTTTTCTTAAAGGCAACACTATCATCACTAAGAACAGTTCAGCCTTCACTTGTTAACTGATGCTCTATAGGCACTGTAACCACATTTGGCCAGGTATATACTAACGAGAGAAAGCCATTAAGACTACTGAACATGGTTAAAAGCCTAGAAAATCTACAGCAACCCACTAATTAGCTACATATACCTAAGACTACCTTCCTAAGAACTACAAGACATCAAAACTCAATCAGCAACAGACCTAAAACTACAACCATGAACCTAAAACTAGAACCAATACTCATGACTTATACCTATGTAAATAGTGAAAACGGGTCTACCAAGTTATCAAAAGTTAACAGTAGAAGAAGTCAGCATTGAACTGCACTGCCTACAAAGCAGCCAATGAGCGCTCCCTTCTCAATTTTAGGTCGTTGAACTTAGCCTGGAAGAATACTGTGAATTGAAAACTGCAGTGTACATTAGTGACAACAGATGTTTATGCTCATAACGAAGCTAATCTTACCTTTTAGCTCTTAACTGACGCAGATGATGAAACACATTGATCACGTCCCTTATACGACGAGGCGCCTCTTCAATTTTGGATGCGAGGTTGATGCAGGCCATAGCAACAATCTGAAAGAAATCCCCGTTTCCATGAGAAAGCTATTTCTTTTAAACTCTAGAATTACACAACTTAAAAAAAAACAAACAACAAACCCCGTGGCCTAAAGGCTCGAAGAGAGCAGCCTGTGTGGCGTGTGGCTGGCCACAGGCACCGGTCACCCAGGACGGGCCCTGGCGCACTCCTCCTCCCCTCTCATCGTCGTTCCCCCTCCCCGCTTCCCTGCCAGGCCGTGCCGCGCTCACCTCGAAGCTGTGCTTGACGAAGGACTTCGAGTAGAAGAATCTGTGAAACAGCACCTGCCCCGTCGCCATCGCCACCTATGAACGCAGAAGGGTGGCTGGCCACAGGCACCGGTCACCCAGGACGGGCCCTGGCGCACTCCTCCTCCCCTCTCATCGTCGTTCCCCCTCCCCGCTTCCCTGCCAGGCCGTGCCGCGCTCACCTCGAAGCTGTGCTTGACGAAGGACTTCGAGTAGAAGAATCTGTGAAACAGCACCTGCCCCGTCGCCATCGCCACCTATGAACGCAGAAGGGAGAAGGATGAAGGAGCGGCCGGTAGTCGCCGGGCCCAGCCG